AGGATTTTATTTGGGGTGGGGGGAATCTCACTGAAACTTAGAGAATATCGAGAAGCCAGGATAGAATGGATGTGGAGATGTTTACACTAGTAGGACAGCCTAGGATCCAAGGACGCAGCCTCAGAGTGCAGGGACAACACTTAAACTGAAATGAGGAGGAATTTCTTCAATTGGACTGTAGTTAATCTGTGAAACTCATTCCTGCAGAGGGCTGTGCTGGCCAGATGTATTTAAGACAGATGGGTTCTTGATTGGTAAGGGATTGAAGGATTACAGGGAATAGGTAGTGAAACAGGGTTGAAAAACATATCAGCCAGAATCAAATGGCTGAGCAAACTCAATGGGTTGAATGACCTAATTTTGTTCATATATCTTATGCAAAACCTGAAGGCAGTATTTTTGTACTAAGATGAGAAACAAAAAGGTAACAATTCCAAATTGTGAATACAGTACTATAAGAAGCACCTTCATAACTTTCTGGTATTTGATGAATCAACAAATTTTATCCATGAAATGTGTCTTGGTGGTTAAGCCAGTAGGAATCTAGTGACATCTACTGGAAATTGCATGTTGTAAAAATTGGTCAACAGCATTCACTGCTGAATAGACTGCTACCAGTCCATACGAATAACCAGAAGATGGTCTAAGAGAAAGAATATCAACACTTTTAAAAAGTCTTTGAAGATGCACCTTTTAAAACTTCAGGGGAAAAAGTCCTGTTACCATTGACAGGAATCCTCACAGAGCCCAAGATTCAAGTTCAATTGCTAGTTTGTTTAAATAACTAACCTCAACCATAATAAGAGTGGGTATTCAGATCCCCTACTAATGGAGAAGAAAAATAATTCAGAGATCCTGTTCCTGGTTAGTATCCAATACCTACAAGAGTCCGTGTTGTATGAGGGGGTTAGTAACTGACATCACAAAGTAAGCGCCACCCATTAGGATACAAAGGGCTAATACTTAGAGGAGCTAACCAGAATTATGGGTGTCCTATGAGTTCACCAGTTGCAGAGAATTTGTAACCAATTATTTCAGTATTAACAGCATGAAGCTAAAGTAGTAATGTGTATTTATTCTTAAGTTGAGACTGATGTCTCACAAGAGACAATCATGTATTGTAGATGTGATATAATTATCTTTTCAATACTATGTAATAAACTTTATTGTTTAAAACAGAGTCTACCTATGCCCAAAACAGAGTCAGTAGATCAATTAATACCAGAAAGAAGGATTAGTAGTGACAAATCAACCCAAGGTATCCTAGATAGTCTAACAGAAGCTAAATTTAAACCATGCACACAGCACTGGGATACAACATGACAACGTGGCCTAATTTAAGACACTAGGCTGGTGGGCTCAAGTCTCATCCGGGGTCTTCAGTTTATGGGTGGCACGGTGGCTCAGTGGTTAACACCAGTACCTCAAAGCGCTAGGGACCTGGGTTTGATTCCAGCCTTTGGGTGATTGTGTGGAGTTCTCCCCATGTCTGCGTGGGTTTCCTCTGGGCGCTCCAGTTTCCTCCCACAGTCCAAAGGGGTGCAGTTCAGGCGGATTGGCCATGCTAAACTATCTGCAGTGTTCATGGATGTGTATGCTAAGTGGATTAGCAATGGTAAATGAAGGGTTATGGTGATAGGGTAGGGTGGTGGGTCTGAGTGAGAGCTCTTTGGAGAGTCAGCACAGACTTGATGTCCTCTTTCTGCACTGCGATTCTACGATTCTATTACAATAGTCAGGATCACATTTCACTGACTACAATTCTCACACCCATCATCAAGAATCACCACTTGGGTAAAGCAAGGCAAGTGGAGCATGTTTCAACAGAAAAGCCTGAGAAACAACGACCACAATTAGAACAGGTATGGAAAAGATCAAGAGCAAATGTAATGCAAATTTGCTCAACTTGAGGAGGATGAATTTCAGTAATTGGAGTGATCTCATTCAAGTGGTTTAGAATCAAAACGTTGTGGATGAATCATGAAATGAGCATTAGAAACCTTTCAAAAGAGAAGATGAATACATATTAGCTACATTCTAGTGGAGGGGAATTGGAGAAGAACAACTTCCAAAGATAGAATTCCCTGGATTTGTGTTTCATTTGTTCGTGGGATGTGAGCAATACTGGGTAAAGCAACATTTATTACGCATCCCTAATAGCTTTGGCGAATGTGGTGGTGAGCTGGTTTCTTGAGCCTCTGAAATTTTTGGGGTGTAGGAACATCCACAGTGCTGTTAGGAAATAAGCTCCAGGGCAACAGTATTTAGAACAGCAATTTAGTTCTAATCAGGATGGTGCATTGCTTAGAGTGGGATCTTGCAAGCGGTGGTTTTCCTATCATGTTACCCTTGCCATTCTAGGGGTTAGAGTTCACGTGTTTGGAGGTGCAATTGGAGATGACTTTGTGAACTTCAGTGCATGTAGATGGTACACAGCTATTACTGTGCATCACTGGTGAACAGTGAATATTGAAGGTGGTGGATAAAGTGCTGGGCTGCTTTGTCCTATATGGTTTTGAACATGCTGAGTGCTTTTGGAGTTGCATTCATCCAGGCAGTATTCCATCACATTCTTGACTTGTGCCTTGTAGATATTTTCTATGGATATGTGAAATGGAGACTAACAGATCTCTTTCGGGAAACAGAAGGTGAATTACTCCTTGCAGAACTCCTAGGGGGAGACTGGGCAAAGTGATGGTCTAGTGGTATTATCGCTGGACTGTTAATCCAGAGATCCAGATTCAAGTCCTGCCACAGCAGATGGTGAAATTTGAATTCAATAAATATCTGGAATTAAGAATCTAATGATGACTGTGAATCGATTGTTGGAAAAACCCATCTGATCCACGAACGTCCTTTAGAGAAGGAAACTGCCTTCCTTACCTGGTCTGGCCTATATATGACTCCAGGCCCACTGTAATGTGGCTGCCTCTTACCTGCCCTCAGGGAAATTAGGGATGGGTAATAAATGCTGCCTAGCCAGCAACACCCTCATCCCATGAATGAATAAAGGAATAAAAGCTTCTGACCTGCTCTTGTAGCCATAGTCTTAAAGTGGAGGTCAGAAGGCAATAGAAAAACAGATTGCAGATAAATATAAAAAAGTCAAATTGTGGATAAGGTTGATGAGGAACCAGAAAAAGGGTTTTTAAATGGAGAGAGAAGGCATAGCTGAAATACTGAGAACTACGCTTCCATATTCACTAAAGTTGTCACAATGCAGTTTCTTTTTAATTCATTCATGGGACGTGGGCCTCAATGGCTAGCTATCATTTATTCCCCATCTCAAGTTCCCCTTGATAAGCTGGTGGTAAGCTGTCTTCTTGAATCACTGCAGTCCATATGCTGTGGGTTGACCCACACTGCTGATAGGGAGGGAATTCAAGGATTTTGACCCAGCATCAATTAAGGAATGGTGATATATTTCCAAGTCAAGATTAACAGTGGCTTGGAGGGGAACTTGCAGGTAATTTTATCCCCATGCATCTGATGTCCTTGTCCTTCTAGATGGAAGTGGTCATGGGCTTGGGAGGTGCTGGCTAAAGATCTTAGTGAATTTCTGCAGTGCATCTTGTAGATAGTACACACTGCTGCTACTGAGCATCGGTGGTAGAGGAAACGGATGCTTACGAATGTGGTGCCGATCAAGTCGGCTGCTTTGTCCTGGATGGCGTCAAGCTTCTGGTGAAGTTGGAGCTGCACAAATCCAGGCAAGTGGTGAGTATTCCATCACACTCCTAACTTGCACCTTGTAGAGATGCAAAGGTTGTGTGGAGTCAAGTGGCGAGTTGCTCGCCACAGAGCTGCTAACCTCTGATCTGTTCTTCTAGCCACCGTGTTTATTTGGCAAGTCCAGTTGAGTTTCTGGTCAATGATAAACCCAAAGATGTTGATAGTAGGGGATTCAATGATTGTAACACCATTGAATGTCAAGGAGTAACGGTTAGATTGCCTGTTATTGAAGATGGTCATTGCATTTGAACATATTCTGCTTCAGTGGAAGAGGTGGTAGAGAAATTGGGACAGGATAAAAAGTCAACGGGGAGTCAAAGAAACACTGGCAGCAAAATGTTTTGAAAGTTATCTAGTCCAGGTGGGATGCTTCTAGGTTACTAAGGGAAGTTTAGGGATGGAAATTGTGGAGGGTCTGACCACAACGTTCCAAAATTTTATTCTGTTTCCCCTACAAACTTCGTAAGGGACCGTTAATTAGGAGAGAGTGCCCGCCCACCGTCTCCCCTCACCAGTGGCCAACTAAAAATTTGACACCATCCCAGATATGTCGGGATTACCTCCAGGATTATGATTTTCAGGGTTCGTATGCAAAAATTCCCAATCTCATGGCTTTTTAAGGATCTCAGCTATTAAATATATTTCTCTCCCTACATATACTGCCATATCTGTTGAGTATTTCCAGCATTTTCTATTTTTATGTCAGCCTTTGAGAATTCACAATAATATGCTTTTGCGTTTTGTACTAGAGAGACTGTGACTGGTCTCCTTAGCATAGAAAGGTCAAGGAGAAAAGCTGATTGAAGGGTTCAAGTTCATGAAGAGCTTGGATAGAGTAAATAGAGGGAAACTGCTTCCAGTGGGAGAAAAATCCACAGGACACTGAAAGTTTGATAAATAGTTGAAGTGACAGAATAAAATTACAAGACTCTGGGAAGTAAAACTAATTGGATAGCTCTTCCGAAGAACCAGCAAAGGAACAATGGGCTATATGGCCTCTTCTTATGCTAAATCATTTATGGTTCTTTGAGATGGAGTACCTTCACCATGGACTACACCCATTCAAGAAAGGTGGCTCATCATATCTAGAGATCCAACTAGGAATGTACAATAAATGGTAGCCTTCCCACATTCTGATATTTAAAAATACAGTTAAATAAGGCTCTCTGCTATTAAACGATGCTTTCCCACTCAATTTTGACAGGCAAGCCTCACTCCTACCATTCTTTCAGTCTTTAGTTCAGTAGCTAATAAAAAGGTATTCATACCAGACTTCTCAGTGCTCTTATGTAGTGCTCTCAGTGCTTCACGGTTCCGATTTCTCTTCAAATCAAGGTCAACAATCTGAAATCCACCAGATAAAAATAGATAGATATTCAGGTACAATTCATTCTATCCCATGTCCTTTGTACCTCTTGGTACCAGTCTCAGAAAGCAAACAGAATTCTTTACCTTGATTATTAAAACACTTAATTATCTAATTCAATATTGTACAAAGTTCACTATATGTGTGCAAAAGAAAATATTTCACCGAACTGTAACCAGAATTGCTTGATGAACAAATGTCTATACTCCATATGGCCTATCTTCTGTCATCTTCTAGGTCACACATACAATAAATTAAAGTGTCTACATTTCATAGCCGTCAGTCAATCTCTATCCACAACTATAAACCAGACTTTATCATACGTCAATTTGATCTAAATAACCTATTTCAGATCCAATTTGAAAATACCTTAGGTGGACCAATTAAGTAGTCAGGAAGGCATGTGGCATGCTTGCCTTTCATAGACAAGGTACAACGTTATGTTGAAACTGCATTAAACGTTATTTAAGCCACATCTTATATTGCTTGTAAGTGGTGTCAGCTTTGTTTCCATTCTTTGTGCCACTTCAAGGTGGTGTTCATTATACACATTGCCTATTTAGGAAGGGATTACGTAGAGCAGTCAAACTCATTAAGTGGCATCTGGAGCAATGACTGAAAGATGCATTCCTAATGGTGAAGGCAACAGTCTGTACAAGAAATCCCAAACCCAAAGAAGAAAATGCTTGAACTGAAGGAGGTCATCAAGACTAGATGAACCATGAACATGGTGGCAAGGGAATACAGGGTAGTTTTTTAATATATGGAAAATAAGAACATTATTTAATAAGAACATGAGAATGATTTTCAGATGGAATCCAAAGATCAGCAAACAACCTGTAGGTCTGAATCAGCTTTAACATCACTGTTTTTTCAGAGTGAGAATGGGATAGTACAGCAAGAAAAGGGTGATGAATAGTTTACTTAGGAGTTAGAAGACATGACAGAGACTAGAACAATGGTCAATGAGATGGAATCACAGCAGACCTTTGAAATGGGTTGAAGCAACCAGGTGGAATGATTTCAGAAGAAGGAAAGGTCACAAATCAGTTCCAAACAGAGAAGTCAAAGGAGGCAGCATACAGCATATCAAAATGCCAGGCGTACTAACTAGCCTGCCAGAGAGCTTCCTATTACTGTCACGGAGCACCAAGGAACCTGAATCCAAATTGGCAGATGGATCTTTTGGAGTTTTGCTATCTCCAAAGCTTACGTACTGTCTTCATGTCATGTTGCAGCACCAGAAGGACTGGCAGTGGTGAAGTAAAAGACAACTGTACCAGCTGAGGAATTTGTACACTCCAATTAAATCAGGTAAAGGAAACACATTAAAATAAAACAAAGAACTGTGGATGCTGGAAATCTGAAAAAAAACCTGAAATTGCTGGAGGAACTCAACAGGTCTGGCAGCATCTGTGAAGAGAAATTAGAATCATCATCTCAAATCACTTCTTCAGAACACCATGGATGCTGTCAGACCTGCTGACCTTTCCAGCAATCTCTGTTTTGGTAAAGGAAACACACTTGTTGAAGTCTAAAGGACTACTCTAACTGCTCAAGCATTGTTTTCAGCTCTGGTGAGAAGTTGACAGCATAGCCTATAAATAGACATTTAAGGCTTAGCATGGTGCATTCCATTTATTGCCCCTAAAATCAAAGGTTTATAAAAGAAACATTTATCAATTTTTGCTCCTAGAATCAAACACTTGAACTAAACGTATTTGCAATTTCTGTGAACATCTACAGTCTCCATAGAACGTAATCAATAACAATATATATTCAGATCATACTTTATGGTAATAAAATGTCCCAAATCTCACCAGAGGCATTATTAAACAGATGTCACACAGGGCCACTTTGGGAGATATTAGGGAAACAATCAAAAGTTTGATCAACGAGGGAGGATTTAAAAAAAGGAGAAAAATAAGATAGAGAGGTTTAGGAGGGAACTGAAGGCACAGTCACTAATGTGGAGCCATTAAAATTGGTCATACTTCCAAGAGTTCAGAATGAGAACAGTGCAGATACCTCATAGGATTGTATGAGGTATAGAAGATTGCTGGAGAAGATTTCAGAGGTAAGGAGGAGTGAAGCCATGAAAAGATTTGTAATCAAGGATGGATTTTTTAAAAAAAACAGGAAATGCTTAATAAAGTACCAATGTTGGTCAGTAAGCTCAGGGGTGATGGGTGACTATCTGCCATGACCTCAAGTTTACAAGAATATGGCAGGCTGGCCAGGATGAGGGTTTCAACAGCCGATTAGCTAAGATAGGAATGATGTTTTTGAAATGGATTTTTTTTTTCTTTATTCATTCACAGGATGAGGGCATCGCTGGCTAAGCAGCATTTATTGTCCAACCCTAATTGTCCAGAGGGCAGTTCAGAGTCAACAACATTGCTGTGGGTCTGGAGTCACATGTAGGCCAGACCAGGTAATGATGGCAGTTTTCTTCCCTAACAGACATTAGAGAACCAGATGGGTTTTTCCAACAATCGACAATGGATTCAGGGTCATCATTAGACTCTTACTTCCAGATATTTATTGAATTCAAATTCCACCATTTGCCATGGCGGAATTCGAATCCGAGTCCCCAGAACATTATCTGGGTCTCTGGATTAGCAATCCAGCGATAATACCACTAGGCCATCGCCTCCTTGCGACAACCTTAATGAGATGTGTGGTCAAATGCCCATATTATAGTCAAGTAGACTGAACAGTCCTGTTCAACTGCTGAAAGGTACCAGGGACAGGTATGGATCACACATCAAAGGAGCAGAGTTGATGGGGTTTTGGTTCCTTCCAAAAGTTTCAGTTTTCCCAGTACTTAATTGAAGGAAATTTCTGCTCATCCTGTACTGGATGTCAAGCAAGCATTCTGATAATTTAGCTGCAGTGGGAGGTTTGAAAGAGATTGAAATGGAGGAAAGCTTGATAATATAGGATGATGTCATGAGGTCCAATATGTAAATGAAAAATAGGAGAAACTTTAGGATAAATCAAGCAGGTTTGTCTCAATGGCAGATTTGAAAAACAGGACCTCAGGAGAGAACACCGTTAACAACCTTAGCTAACATGGGTAAAGAAGAAGGTGCAACAGTGTATAGAGTCATAGAGACATACAGCATGGATACAGACCCTTCAGTCCAACTTGTCCATGCCGACCAGGATATACGAAATTAATCCAGTCCCATTTGCCAGCCTTTGGTCCATATCCCTCTAAACACTTCCTATTTATATACCCATCCAGATGACTTTTAAGTGTCATAATTATACCAGCCGCCACCACTTCCTCTGGCAATTCATTCCATACGGGCACCACCCTTTGCGTAAAAGTTGCCCTTAGGTCCCTTTTAGATATTTCCCCTCTCACCTTAAACCTATGCCCTCTAGTTTTGGACTGCCCCAGCCCGGGGAAAAACCTTGTCTATTCACACTATCCATGCCCCTCATGATTTTATAAACGTTTATAACGTCACCCCTCAGCCTCTGATGTTCCAGGGAAAGTAGTCTCAGCCTATTCAGCCTTTCCCTATAGCTCAAACCCTCCAGTCCTGGCAACATCTTTGTAAATCTTTTCTAAACCCTTTCAAGTTTAACAACATCATTCCTATAGCAGGGAGACTAGAATTGCACGCAGTATTCCAATAGTGGCTAACCAATGTCCTGTACAGCCACAACATGACTTTCCAAATCCTATACTCAATGCACTGACCAATAGAGGCAACCATACTAAATGCCACATTCACTATCCCATCTACCTGTGACTCCACTTTCAAGAACTATGAAACATGACTCCGAAGTCTCTTTGCACAACAACACTCGCCAGGACCTTACCATTTAGTTTGTAAACCCTACCCAATTTGCCTTTCCAAAATCCTCACATTTATCTAAATTAAACTCTATCTGCTGCTCCTTGTCCCACCGGCCCATCTGATCAAGATCCCATCGTACTCTGAGGTAACCTTCTTCACTGTCCACCACACTACCTATTTTGGCGTCATCTGCAAATTTAGTAACCATGCCTCCTATGTTCACATCCAAATCATTTATATAAATGACAAAAAGCAGTGGACTCAGCACTGATCCTTGTGGCACACCACTAGTTACTGGCCTTCAGTCTGAAAATCAACCCTCCACCACCACCCACTGTCCTCTACCTTTGAGCCAGTTCTGTATCCAAATGGCTAGTTCTTCCTGCATTCCATATAATCTAACCTTGCTAGCCAGTCTACGATGCAGAACTTTGTTGAATGCCTTAACGAAGTCCATATAGATCATGTCCACCACTCTGCCTTCATCATTACTGTTCTTTACTTCTTCAAAAAACTCAATCAAGTTAGTTAGACACAATTTCCCATGCACAAAGCCATGTTACATATCCTAATCAGTCCTTGCCTTTCCAAATACATCTAAATCCTGCCCCTCTGCATTTCCTCTAACAACGTGCCCACCGGCTCACCGGTCTATAGCTCCCTGGCTTTTCCTTACCACCTTCCGCAAATAGCTAATCTCCAGTCTTCCAGCACCTCATCTGAGGCTATTCATGATATAAATATCTCAGCAAGGGGCCCAGCAATCACTTCTCTAGTTTCCCCACAGTGTTCTACGGTACATCTGGTCAGGTCCTGGGGATTTAGTCACCTTTACGCTGGAGCAGTTCAAGAAGAGATTGGTCTCATGGCCAAGTTGAGCTTGGAGGGGCCATGATAGGAGACAGGAGAGAAGGTGGGGAAGGAAGCAATAACAGGGCTCGGGTATGGAAGAGCATCTGTTCCAGTTTGTCTCAAAGAGAGGAAAAGTGGCAGAGGCAGGTGATCAGATGATCTCAATCTTAGTGATGAAATATCCATAAATTTGTGGCAGTCATTGCAGTTGAAAGCTGTGGAAACAGGTTACAGTAGAGAAAAAAGCCAGGGGTTATCTATTATCTCCAGGATTATCCTGGAGTAAGCAACTTTCAGAAGATAGCAGGACCAGATAGGTCCTTATCTGGTCCAGCTTCATTTAGCGGTAAACGGCTAAACTAGGTTTCTGCCATATCCTTTCAAATGCTCATGCCTCAGACCATAAGATACAGAAACAGAATTAGGCCACTTGGCCCACTGAGTCTGCTCAGCCATTTGATCATGGCTGATATATTTCTCACCATTCTCCTGCTTTCTCCCTGTAACCCTTGATCCCCTTAACAATCAAGAACCTAGCTATCTGTCTTAAATACACTCAATGATTTGGCCATCACAGCCTTCTGCAGCAATGAGTTCCACAGATTAAATAAACCTCTGGCTGAAGAAATCCTCCTCATTTCAGTTCGAGACTGTGCCTTAGAGTCCTAGTCTACTCCTACTAGTGGAAACATCTTCTCCATGTTCACTCTATCCAGACTTCTCAGCATTCTATAAGTTTCAATAAAATTCACCCCTCATTGTTCTAATCCATTGAGTTCAGACGACTCCTCACATAACAAGCCTTTCATCTCTGGGATCATTCTTGTAAACTTCCTCTGGACCCCTCCAATGCCAGCAAATCCTTAGATTGCAGGCCCTCAACTGTTCACAATATTACAAATGTGGTCTGACTAGGGCCCCATACAGCCTCAACAGTACATCTCTGCTCTTCTGGAAATAGAAAGGGTTGCAACTGCCCTTACGAGACCCTCATTTAGGGAGGGTAGAAATTAGTCAAGGCTCCTCCTGTTATCCAATGCATTATGTTTTTCTGGTGAGAGATATTTCTCAAAGTCCATTTGATGACCCTTTTACCTCAGTGAGTCTAATAATCTACTGACATGGTGCACCTTTCTATTTGTCTTAATATTTATTTTTTATATTTTGTCATTAAAATGGTAACCAGAACATGGTAACTTAAACACTTCTCACCTGTATTTAGGAAAATACAGGTGACAACAAATTACTATACTACACAGATTGCTAGCATTGCATTAGCCTTCCTAACTGCAAACTGAATCTGCATGGTAACCTTAAGAAAATCCTGAACTAGGGCTAAGTCCCTTTGTGCTTCAGATTAAGAAACAGAGATGACAGCTGTACCAAGCAAATGGCCAGGATTAAACAGAGCAATGATTTTAATGGGGTCAAGGGCACAAAGGGAGTGACTGAAATATTATGGCGATCAAACAAACAAAGGGTAGATGTTTGGGGATTTAAGAGTTGAGTTAACAGGGAATGGGTTGAGAGGATCCCTTTGCCCAGAGCAAGATAAACATAGGTCAGGCCAGATAAAACAGCAAAGATCAATCCTAGAGATAGTAGAGTCTAGGCCCAAAATGTCAGCTTTCCTGCTCCTCTGATGCTGCTTGGCCTGCTGTGTTCATCCAGCTCTACACCTTGTTATCAAAGATCAATCCTATTTCGACTCACATTATGGAAGTTGGCTTTGGAAGTAATGAATAATAAGTGGTTCGTAGAATTTGCTGTACAAGCCACCACTCGGCCTGTCGCCTCAACACTCTCCCAGGGCAGGTGGTACTGAATACAGCAATGTCACGCTGCTGCAGTAGATGCTGCTGTCTGGATCTTTGAAGCCAACGATGCTAGGAGATTTTTGACCCTGCAGCTGACCCAGTCCATATCCATCCTGGGTAGGCTGACATTGAACACAAACACATTTGGAGATGGCCCTGTGCCCAGCAGGGACACTTGGTGCCAGGTCCAGCAGCAAACGCAGTATAGACATGATCAACAACAAACATTTCAGCGCCTAGGATCCACGCCAAACCAACCCGAAACACAGGCCGCCATTGTACCTGCTGTTTATCAGCCAGCAAACTCTCCGCCAGCTCCTCCACCTCAGTCAGATAGTTCATCACCTGCTCCGACATCCCCGCCATTTTCACCCTCAAACAACTTCTAACCGTCTCCGCCCGAGCTGTCAATCAACAGAGCTCCACCCGTTTCATTGGCGTTGCCCACAGTTCCCCGTGTGATTGGTGAATATACTGCCAATCAACAGCATCTTATGTGACGAAAACTCAACCGCGCAGCATCCTGGGAATTGAAGTCCTTTCTGGACTTCTTCCAAACGATCCAGCCCACTATTTATGTTCAGTCCTTTTCTCCCTTTTTGTCTTATGTGTTTCTCTGGCTTCCTCTTCGTCACTTTAACCATCCTGTGTGGCAGCACCTTCCTCGTTTTAACCACTCTCTCTGGATGAAAAAGTTAATCCTGAATTCTTAAACACAGAGAACGCTAGAGAAATTATAGCAACACTGTTAACGTTTCAAGTCCAGCACTGGAGGGTTTGAGTTATAAGTAGAGGCTGGAAATTTATTTCTCCCAGACCAAAGGAGGCTGAGTGGTGGCCTTATAGAGGGTTATAAAATCATAAGGCGCATAGATAAGGTGAATAGCCAAGGTCTTTTCGCCAGATTAAGGAGTCCAAAAATAGGGGGCAAAGATTTAAGATGAGAGAGGAAAGATTCATAAGGGACCTGACGGGCAACTATTCCACACAGAGGGTGGTGCATATTTGGAACGGGCTGTCAGAGGAACTGGCACGCACAATTACAACATTTAAAAGACATTTGAACAGGTACATGGATAGGAAAGGTTTAGAGCAATACAGACCAGACGTAAGCAAATGGGACTAGTTCAGTCTAGGAAACCTGGTGAACATGGACGAGTTGGGCTGAAGGGTCTGTTTCTGTGCTGTATGACTGTAAGATTCTATCCTTATTTGATTTATTTGGATGATCTTACATTCTGCTGCAATTGGAGTTTATCTTCTCTGTGACTTCTCTTTCATAACTTAAAAACCTCAAGGTCTTCTCTTTTCTAGAGGAAGAAAATCTACACATTCAATGATTGCTGACAGATATAAATGCTCAGCTCTGGTATTATTTGTGTAAATGTTTTTAACATTTTATTCAGTGCTTGTAAATCCTTTCTATGACATTACCTCAGTTCAGGTGTTACACTAGTTAATCTTTATTTGCCTTTATATGCTTGGTACCTTTATATTATTTTTATAATATGGAAAGCAGAACTGTTCACAGTATTCCCAATCAAAATTTAACTGAAGTTCAACAAATCTTTATAAAGAATATTACATCTCTGCTTTTCAATTTTATCCCTTATGAAACAAACTCCTGTGCTTGGTTTGTGCCGTTGTGGATTTATTAATCTGTACTAATACTGTCAAAAATTTGTCTATCTTTAACTCCAAAGCCCCTGCTCCCCAATCCAGTGAACACTCTTTTTTTACTTCCAGGCAATATGTACTCTCTCTATTCCTCATCCTAAAAGGTGCTGTCTTATACTTATCAATGTTCAATATGGATTTCAAATAACTTTTCCAACTTTTCAATATTATACCTCTTGAAATAAAGCCTCATGTTTGATTTTCTTCTTTTATCACCTTGCTAACCTATGGCCTAACTTTAGTGATTTGTGCATTTGTACTTTTGTTATTATTCATTAACGGGATGAGGGCGTTCGCTGGCTAGGCAGCATTTATTGCCCATCCCTAATTGCCCAGAGGGCAGTTCAGAGTCAACCACATTGCTGTGGGTCTGGAATCACATGACCAGACCAGATAAGGATGGCAGTTTTCTTCCCTAAAGGACATCAGTGAACCAGATGGGTTTTTATGACAATCTGCAATTAGATTCTTAATTCTAGATATTTTTATTGAATTCAAATTCCACCATCTGCCATGGTGGGATTTGAACTTGGGTCCCTCGAACATTATCTGGGTGTCTGGAGTAACAGTCCAATGATAAATACCACTAGACCATAGCCTCCCCCAGACTGACATGTTCAACGTCATAATTGATCTCCCAATTCATCCTACCAGGCTTTGGAAGGAATGCATCTGGATAATGTGTGAAGTTTTGGTCTCCTTATTTAAGAAACGTCATCATTATACTAGAAGCAATTCTGATAAGAAAACCCACTCAACTCAGATCTGGAATGAGGTGTCACCATATAAGGAAAGGTTGAACTCTGTCAGAGGCGTCCATTGGAGTTTAGAAAACTGAGACGTAATCTTATTGAAATATCTAACATCCTAAGGGAACTTAACGGGTGGATTCTGAAAGGGTATTTCCCTGTGTCAGAGAGAACTAGGGGACATGTCTCCAAAGATGGAGATGAAGAGGAATTTTTATAAAACTCTTGAGCATTATGGGTACGTGGAACTCTTCCCTATAGAATGGTAGAGGCTGGATCATTTGAACATTTTTAAGGCCAAGGTGGAAACATTCTTCAGAGCAAAAGAATCAAATGCTTTTGGGAGCAAACAGTTAAGTGGAATTAGGGCAACAATCAGATCAGTCATGATCTTGTAAAATGACAAAACAGATTGAAGGCCCTGATCCTGACTAACTTGCATGTTCTTATGTATGCTTGTGTTGTTGCACCTCACACTTATCTATGCTGACCTTCATTTGTTAATCATATACCCATTCTACAAGTTCCTATATTTCATTGCAGTCCCCCTTTATTTTAACTACACTGCCTAATTTGGTGTAAAATGCAAATATAAGGTATTATCCTTTGCCCTTTTCATTCTGCAGTTGTATAGAGCCTTAGGGAGAACCATACTTTGTGTGCTATATGGAAAGATTGATTTGGTCCATACTGCTTAGAATTTAGAATAATGAGAAGTGATCCATTGAAACGTATGCAATCTTAAAATGAATTGATGTGATAGCTGCTGAAATGATTTTTCTCTGACTGGATGAGTCTACATAGCTTTCGAATAAGGGGTGGGACAATTAAGACTGAGATTAGGAGAAATGTATTCCTTAAAAGGGTTATTAATCTTTGAAATTCTTTACCCCAATGAGGATGCATGCTCAGTCCAAGATTCGTCAGAGATCCATAGATTACTGTGTACTCAAGGAATCGAAAGATATTGGGAGAGTGTGGGGAGATGAAATGTGAATAGGTAGATCATCCATGGTCGTAGTCAATGGCACAGATGGTTCGAGAAGCTGAAATAATCTACTCCGGCTCCAATTTCCTAAGTTCTTATGTTTAGTTCATGGTACGTGCTGCGAGGCAACTACATCTCCCAGAGTGCACAGATTTGGACACTTTATAAAAGCGGTGGCCGAAGGAGGCGCTTCGCTAATGTGAGCCGGCAGCTGCAGAGCAGTGTCTCAGTAATAGTTGCAGAGCTGTATCCTCACAGCCAGCCCTCCGCAGCATTGACACCCTTATTCAACTGTCTGCAAACACCCCGTTCGCTGCAGCATATATAAAGAGATCAACCGTCTGAGTTCTTATTGTAGTTGATCTTGGAGTATCTCCCAGAAGAAACCAGCGTCCCCTAAAAACAGCAGGTGCAACAATGAGGGAAATTCTGAATATCCAGGCTGGACAATGCGGGAACCAGATCGGAGCCAAGGTAAGAAATCCGCCATGAACAATATCCAAATCGTTTTTGTTCATAAAAATACATAATACACATCATTTCTGTCAATCGAAATGATACTCGAATCCATATCTTAATAAAATGCTACTTAACTATGTTCCCAGCGAGGAAATGAAACCACGCCCTTTCTACAATGATTTAAACCGTTAGGACTTCGTTCCATCTCAATTCACATTGAGACTGCATCATATGGTGCATTTTCCAGCTGATGCAGCTGTTTTCTTTTTTGGAGAAAAGGGGTTCTGGCTAAATTGCTAGGCTTGTGTGTCTGTAAGTGGGTCTGTGTGTGTGGAGCAGGACATGCGCGCTAGCTGCTGCTGACAGCCTTGCCTCGCCTCGCTCTCTATTCCTTTGTCTGCTCCACAATTCGACAGAGCAGGGACCGGGCTCTCATTCTCATCTCAATCAAAGCCCCACACTCTGGGAACCAAACCTTGGCCCAATTTGAAGCGGGCACCGATCTGGGATTTTGTTCTTTTTAAAAAAAAAATAAAAGTTTGGTTTTCCACGATCCTCCCAAATTCATTAGGTCCTCTAAAGCTTTGTCTTCCCCAACCCCCAGCCATGAAGCAGTAGCTTCGAGGAGGAAGGCTCAGAGCACATTAACGATATTTCTTTACAAGTCACGTCGTTTCAGCATTCATAAGATAGTGTTTTTGCATGTTTGCAGCATAATGTAATATTTCGCTACTGGGGGTCCCCTCCCCCATCCTACAGCCGGTAATTGAGGTTTCGTGGGATAATCAATTCCCTCCACCTCTGGGGTTGGATCCATTCTGCTGCTGAATCTGCAATATGTGAGGAATCTCCTTCAGCATTCTCTGCCAGCTGGTCCTTTTCCAGTAAGCCCCAGAAAGATGAAATCTCTCAGGGTTGCAAGAAGAAGCCGCTGGCTATCCCCCGGGGATATACACACGAAATTGCAGAAGTGGGGTAACCAGCTGTCACATGCGAATGAAGGGGGTCAGTGATCCCGATCGAATGTGATATTAAATGGAGTATGCGTGGAGGTTTGTGTGAATTGATGAGGAATGCACTCTCACTATCTCCCCGCTGGTGGAGGGTAATGCTTTCAATATAAGCCATTCACTGTCAGCCCTATTCTGCCGATGTACAGTTGAAAAGGGTGTGGTCTATATAGCTCGTCGCAAACCCCTCGACTTCAATGACCTGCGCCCTTCACCGTGTCTGCCTGGAAGTGTTCCACACTGTATTCCGTACATACTGACACTTCCTAGAATCAGGCGTGTGTAATAATTTAATCATACAGTCTGGTGAGTTTTGTCAATTAAAACGCTGTCTATTCGACCAATAAAAATCTAAATTTCTCACTATTTTCGCAGAAACTCAGGGAAGTTATCCCCGGTGCCTTGCCCAATATTTATCCCTCCATCAACTTCAGAAAAACAAATTATCTCGTTATTATCACATTACCGTTCTAGGAACTTCCTGTGGACAGTTTGGTTGCACAGTCTTCCACATAAGTGACCATACTTCAAAATCACTTCAACGACTGTAAAACACTTTTAAACGTGATTTGTGAAAGGAGCTATACACATGCGAGTATTTTCGTTACATTTGTGAATGAATTTGTGCTTGTTAATCCATGTTCATAGTTTTGGGAGGTGATCAGCGATGAACATGGAATTGATCCTTCGGGAAGTGCCCGTGGTGAAAGTGGTATCCAGTTGGACAGAATCAACGTCTATTACAATGAAGCAGCCGGTAAGGAGTTACGCCACCCACAGGATTTGATGTTGCCTCTGCAACTGTCCATTGCACCGACTGGAAATTTTGGGGGAAAGAACCCAAGCACAAGGGTGTTCAGTTTTTTGGACAGAATCATTTACTCATGTAGAACCATTGAGTAAGCTACAAAGTATTAAAAACCAATGGGGTTAGTTGCTGTTCCATTCTAAAAAGGCACATCACTTGTGTTTCACTTTTAACTTTTGCTCTTAATTTCTCAATCTGACAGGTGTGGTCTGCTGCACTGCTGCCTCTGACAGTCACCAAGTTTCTACACCTGAAAGCTTCAGTCTCTGTTCTTTACACTTTTAGGGCCTGAAGTACCGGTAAAAGTTGCTGTCTGATTGGAGCAAAATAGCTGCTGTTTCAATGGCAAAATCCATCATTGAGGCACAGCCTTTTCTAATCCTTTAGACATGAGGATTTTTCAAAAAGTCATGAGGCCAATAGTTGATAATTCAGACAAGAATACAAAGTAGGAATGAAGTATCAGGCCATGTAAAAGAACTCACAGGCAGGATCGTGGATACTCTGGCTGGGTTTTGTCATTTCTGTGCTCAACCACTCATTTAAACAGGCATGGAACAGAAGATTGTGGGCTGCTGTGTGCATCAGAAGATTACCATCTTGCTTAGAAATGAAAATCAGAATTTAAACGTAGATAGTAAAAGAGAAACAGCCATTTTAGATTTGTTCAATACTTTCACATCAGTTCTATAAGCCTTTGATCTTATGCTTATCAATTCTGTCTGATGTCACTGACACCTGAAGGAGTGAGACTCCAAAAGCTTGTGTCTTCAAATAAACCTGTTGGACTATAACCTGGTGTCGTGTGATTTTTGACCTTGAGATGGGAAATGTATAAGAAGTAAAACAAAATGGTAAATTAACAAAGGCAAGGAAACTGATAGATTAGGAAGCTAAGGAGAAGGAAGTAGTTAATCAAATGTGACACTTGTATACCACTGCCAGATATATTCCAAATAAAACAAAGGGACTAGAAGAACAAATTTAGTTTGGTATATGATGGGTAATAAAAACAAAATACTGAGAATAATCAATAGGTTTGGACATGTATGAAAGAAAGAGTTAACATTTGAAGTTGATGGCCCTTTTTTGGAGTTTCCAAAACCAGCAACAGATGACCAGGGATTGTTGGATTTGTTTATGATACCAAGTTCTTCAAAGAATTAATGATATTAAGAGCACATATTGAGGGAACAGCATCCTTAAGATGAAGTAAAGGAGTATCACAAACAAGGCTTCTGATTTTAAACGGGCTAACTTTGAAGGGATAAGGAATTGGTCAAATTAGGATGGAAGAAATTATTTGTTGGGAAATCTGTCAACCAACAGCTGGATCTATTAACGGTATACATTAATACTTCACACTCTACCATCGAGAATCAGACATTTACGCCACAGGAAACTATTTAGCCCATTGTTTCTAAACGGGCTGTTTAATGTATCAAACCAAAATAAATACAATTGTCCTGCTCTCTCCCCATCTTTTCCTGCCTTATTATATCTCCAGTCTTCCTGAAAGATTTCATGGTCTCTTCAATGTTTATTTAACATTGTCGGAAACTTCTGGCTGGATTTAATGCAAGTGATATGGATCTAGTCTGCTGGCTCAAAGAGCCCTGCATTGTCTCTGTTCAGGTAGGCCTTCCCCATTAAGCAATAAGCACTTAACTGGTCAACGGTAAGCTATTCTGGGCTCAGGGCCCTCATAGGAGGATGTCCTGACAGCTGCTGGTCACGGAGGCCAGAAAGTCTTCATTGCTTGGCAGTACCCTGAGGAGTAATGGCATGATGTGGAACACTGGGGTAACGGATGGTGTTCGTGTTCGGCATTAATTGCCCACTTATGGGTCTCAATTGGTAGTGGTGAGGCTGTCCTTCAGAGCAGAGGCAGGAAGGCGGCTGGGTTTCCACCCACCTACCAGATTAACTGATCCTCATGAATAACTCACTATAGACACCATTAAATGCCACTCTTCATATCCGTATTGTCTTTAATGTTGGTCTTGTATTATTTCTTTCCCAGGTGACAAGTATGTTCCCCGTGCAATTCTGGTGGATTTGGAACCTGGCACTATGGATTCCGTCAGATCCGGGCCATTTGGACAAATATTTAGACCAGATAACTTTGTATTTGGTAGGAATACAGCAGTAACACATTTTTAATTGCATGAACAAATGCTTCAATACGGCTGAGTGGAATCTCTGGATGAAGTAGTTCAGTGTAATTGGACCAAAGATGGAGCCTTTTCTTTTGGTAAAATACCATTCCTCTCATAAATGGATGAGAATTCAGTCCCAGGTTTTACTTGTGCACTCTTCTGTTACTCACCATTCGGAGGTGAACGAGGTGACTGACCCTTGAGCTTATCTCATCCAGAGAAGGAAATTGTGGAAACGATGCTTGAAAGATCATATAATGATTAGGTAGAGTCAACATGGTTTTATAAAAGTATAATCATATTTTATAAATCAGGTTTTCTTTAAAGGTTAACTAAAAGGGTGGATAATGAAGCAAGGCATGTAGTTTATTTAGATTTTCTGTATTAATCACTTAGTCAAAATACCAATGTAATACATCCAGTTTTGCTGATGATACAAGGCTGGGTAGAAAGTAGTTGTGTGGAGGTCACAAAGAAACTGAAGAAGGAGAAATCTGGCTTAAGATAGTGAAGAAGAGGTGGCGGATGGAAGAATGCAAATGTATTCACTTTGGTAGGAAGGATGAATAGAAGTTTTTTAAATAGGGAGAAATATTAAATATTATAATTCAGAAAAATTTTGGTATCCTTTTTGATAAAATGCATGAGGATAAAGCAAGTAACTGGGGAGACAAGTGGCATGTTGGCCTAATTGTAAGCTGGGGGGTGGTTGATATAAGAGTAAGGAAGCCATACTGCAACTGGACGGTGTCTGCGTGAGATCAAACCTGGAATACTGTGAACAACTTTGATTTCTGTAGCTAAGGGAGGATACACTTGCCTTAGAGAGAGTGCACTGAAGGTTTACTAGTTTGATTCCTGGATGAACTTCAAAGCTTCATTGACTTCTACCTCCATTTCAAGTCATAATGCCTCTCTGCTCTGAGTTCAGTGCACTATTATCCTTGCTTCATTCCTCCCTTCATGAAAACACTCCAACTCAAACTCACATCCATCCACTTGACTTTGTCATCTCCTATGGCTTTGCTATTTCCTTCATATTCATCACAGCAAAGGGCCATCTCTGATCACTTCTGTGTGCCAGTCTCCATCCACATTGCCCTCTGTACACATGTACCTCCTTCCTTCAGTGACCACCCTATGGAAAAAAAAAATCTCAATTCAGTTACAACTGTACTTTCGAAATCCCAAAATGTTTAATCCTGGCCTTCCATTCACCATAACAGTTTTGCAGCTACAGATTTGTTCAACCTCACTTCCACCTTTTAATCCCCTAGTCACCAGTAAAATTATTATTCTCTCTCACTGTGGCCTAATAAGGCTTTCCACTCTCCTTGCTTAAGTCCAAAGGATACAGACATAAATAGATACCACAGGCAACTGGTTTAGCCATTCACTGGCACATCTAGTAAATACCATTGAACTCCAGTCTTATCTGCTAAAGGGCCTCACTATCCTGCAATACAAACATAACTCACAGCCCCCATATTCCACTGTCGGCTTCATTTCTCTACTGCAAACTGTCTTAAATCCCTCTCCTAAATCTCCTCCATCCTTGTCTGTAACAGAAAGTGTGAGGAGTTTAAGGACATCTTGTCACTATCCATCAAACACTTGCACTTCCCCAGATCAGCAGGCCAACTACTTCTAAGGCCCAAGTTCCATTCCTGATGTCATTTTACATCTTTGCCTAGTTTCTCTCTGATCTTTCCTCACACCTTCCCGATCTCATCATGTCCACAAGGCCCATCTCTTGCTCACTCAGCCCTATTGGCACAAAACTGCTGACCACACAACTTCCCTTGGACCTATCCTAACCAGTATTGTGACCAATTTTCTTTCTTTGGGTATTGTTCCTCCCGGCTTGAAATCCGTCGTCTTTGCTCATCTCAAGCAGTCAACCTTTGACCCCACCACCCTTTCAAACTAACTGTCCATCTCCAACCTCCTATTCCTTTCCACGTTTGTTTAACATAATGTTACCTCCAGAACCCATGTTCATATATCCCAGAGTTTCATGCTTGAATCCTTCCAATCAAGTCCCTGGCCCTGTCACAGTATTGAACTGGCTCTTATTAATGTTATAAATGAGTCAGAAACCTTCATAACTCTTAATCAATGTTTAGATCGTCTCTTGTGCTGCCGTAAATCCCAGGACTACGGGCCAAAAACTGGAGAATAGAATTAGTGCAGTGAGAGCTTTGTGGATAGTGTGGACAAGGCAAATGGCTTCCTTCTGTGCTACAAACATCTGAGACTATAAATGACATCTTGTGTGACCGTGAAAATGTTAAGTCTTTTTTTCTCTCAAACTATCTGGAGCTTCTTACGCCTTCAACACTTATCCACTGACCTGTAACTGAGTGGGACTGCACTTGCTTAGTTCTGTGCTTGTCTAAATCATAGACAGACTTTTAGCCATACAGTTATACAGCAGGGAAACAGACCCTTCAGTCCAACGAGTCCACACTGAACATAATCCCAAATGAAACTGGTTCCACCTGCTTGCTCCTGTCCCATATCCCTCCAAACTTTTCCTTTTTGTGTAACTTCCAAATGTCTTTTAAACATTTTAATTGTACCCACATCCACCACTTCCTCAGGAAGTTCATTCCACATGCAAACCTCTGTGTAAAAAAAAAAGGCTTCTCATTTTTTTTAATCCCTCCCTTCTCACTTTAAAAATGTGCTCCCCAGTCTTGAATTCTCCCATCCTAGGGAAAAGACAACTATCATTAACTTTATTTATACCTCTCATTCTTCTATAAACTTCTATCAGGTCACCTCTGAACCTCCTAGTTGGGTGACCAGAACTGGACAGTATTCCAGAATAGGCCTCACCAATGTTCTGTACAACCTCAACGTGACTTTCCCAACTCCTATACTCAAAGGACTGAGTAATGAAGGCAAACGTGTCAAACGCCTTTTTAACCACGCTGTCTATATGTGACACAAACTTTAAAGAATTATGTACCTGTACTCCTAGATCCCTCTGTTCTACAACACTACCCAAGCCCCTTCCATTAATTGTACAAGCCCTTGTTTGTTGTACCAAAATGCAATACCTCGCATCTATCCAGATTGAACTCCATCTGCCATTTATCAGCCCATTGACCCATTTGATCAAAATCCCCTTGTAATCTTAGAAAACCCTCTTCACTGTCTACTATGCCACCAATTTTGGTATTATCCACAAACTTACTAACCATGCCTTCTATATTCTCATCCAAATCATTTATATAAATGACAAACAAAAGGGAAGGTCAATAAATGTGGAGCTGGAAAAAGACAGCAGGTCATACATCATCCGAGGAATAGGGAAGTCAATGTTTCAGGGCAAAACTCTTCGTCAGAATTGGGGAGGGGGAGGGGAGCCCAGAAATAAATAAAGGGATGGAAGGGTGGGGTTGGGGTGAGAGTAGGTCGGATGGAGATAGGTGGATGCAGGTAGGGGGTTATTGTGGTTGGTCAGTGGGAAGGGTGGAGCGGATAGATGAGTAGGAAGATGGACAGGTTGAGGTGAAGAGATTTTGAAGCTGGTGAATCAATATTCAGGCCATTGGGCTATAAGCTCCCAAGGTGAAATATAAGGTGTTGATCCTCCAGTTCACGATTGGCATCATGCTGACAGTGGAGGCGGCCAAGGATGGACATGTCACTCGGGAAGTAGGAGGGGGTGTTAAAGTGGATGGCAACTGGAAGGTCGGGGTTGGTTGGTGCGTGCAGAGCACAGGTGCTCCTCAAAATAGTTCCCAAGTCTGTGGTTGGTCTCCCCGAAATACAGGAGACCACATCGGGAGCTACAGATACAGTAGATGAGGTCAGATTAAGTGCAGATGAATCTCTGCTGGATTTGGAAGGATTGTCTGGGGCCTTGGACGGAGGTGAGAGGGGAGGTATGGGGCAGGTGTAGCACCTCCTGTGATTGCAGGGAAAGTTACCGGGTGTGGTGAAGTGGTCGGTGGGGAGTATGGAACTGATGGAGTCACCGAGTGAACAGTCCCTGTGGAAAGTGGACAGCGGTGGGGAGTGAAATATCCTTTTGGTGGTGTGGTCTGATTCTAGGTGGCGGAAATGTTGGAGGATGATGCGTCGTATTCGGAGTTTGGTGCGGTGATATGTGAGGACTAAGGAGATTGTATTCTTATTGTTGGGGGGAGAGAGTTTAAGGGTAGAAGCATGGGAAATGGGGGAGATGTGGTTGAGGGCATCCTTAATAACAGTGGAGAGGAAACTACAATCCCTGAAGTAGAAGGATATCTGGGAAAACCTAGAGCAGAACACCTCATCCCGGGAGCAGATGCAATGGAGGCAGAGGAATTGAGTATGGGGTAACATTTTTTGCAGGACAGTCAGTGAGAGGAGGTGTAGTCAAGGTAATTGTGGGAGTTCGTGGGTTTGAAATAGAAGTTAGCGGTGAGTCAGTTACCGGAGTTGGAGATGGTCCAGGAAGGGGAGGGAGGTGGCAGAAATGGTCCAAGTGAATTTGAGTTCGCGGTGGAAGGTGTTGGCAAGTTGATGAACTGCTTGAGCTCCTCACAGGAATACGTGGCAGCACCAATGCGGTCATCAATATAGCGGAGAAAGAGGTGAGGGATGCTGCCGGTGTAGTTGTGGAAGAGGGACTGTCCCACAAATCCTACTAAGAGGCAGGCATAGCTCAGGCCCATGCGGGCGCACATAGCAACCCCTTTGGTTTGTAGGAAGTGGGTGGAGTCAAAGGAAAAATTGTTGAAGGTGAGGACCAGTTCCGCGAATTAGTGTGTTGGTGGAGGGGTACTGGTTGGGCCTGGGGGGGGAAGAAGAAGCAGACGGCTTTGAGGCCATCCGCACTGGGGATACAGGTGTACAGGAACTGAATGTCCATGGTGAAGATGAGGTGTTGGGGGCCGGGGAATTTAAAGTTTTGGAAAAGGTGGAAGGCGTGGGTTGTGTCCCAAACAAACGTAGGTGAGGAGTTCCTGGACTAAAGGGAAGAGAACGGAGTCCAGGTAGGAGGAGATGAGCTTGGTGGGGCAGGAGCAGGCCGGGACAATGGGTAACGAAGTCGAGGTAGGAACCGATCCCTGAAGAACACCGCTGGTGTCAAGCCTCCAGTCTGAAAACTAACCCTCCACCACCTGTCTCCTGCCATTAAGCCAATTAGATATCCAACTGGCAAGCTCACTCTGAATTCCATGTGACCTAACTCTACAAATTAGTCTACCATGTGGAACCTTGTCAAAGGCTTTACTAAAATCCAAATAAACAACATCTATTGCTCTGCCATTATCAAAATTTTTGGTAACTTCCTCAAAAAACTCAGTCAAGCTTATGAGACATGATTTTCCTCATACAAAACCGTACTGACTTTCCCTAATCAATTTTTGCCTCTCTAAATGTTCATAAGTCCTATCTTTTATAATCACCTCCATCAATTTACCCACAACCGAAGTCAGACTCACAGGACTATGTTACCCGGTTTCTCCTTACAACCCTTCTTGAATAAAGGTACAACATTAGCCACCCTCCAGTCATCAGGCACCCGTGGTTATAGATGATGCAAATATTCCTGCAGCTCCTTTGCCATTACCTCTGGTGTCACCCTGGGATCTATTTTTGCCCCTCTTCTATTTCTCATGCTGCCCTCAGCAACAACATCTTTTGACACTCTATTGGTTTTCATATGTAAGCTAATGACACTGTGCTCTACCCTACACCCCTTTCTCAGCTCCTGCTCTAGGGCTGAGTTATCAGGCTCTTTGTCTCAGGTCAGCAGAAATTTCCTTCTATTAAACATTGGGAGGAACTAGGTCACTGTCTTTGGTTTCTGCTCTCAACTCCAACCTTCTATTTTGCAACAGCTGGGGCTCAAACAGATCTTTAGAACTGTTAATATTTCATCCTAAGATTAGTTTTTGACTACAAATCTATGTGATAATTAAAACTGACTATTTTTACCTCTGCAACATTGCTAAATTGCATCAAACTTTGCTCACATAGAACACAGAACAGTACAGCACAGTACAGGCCCTTCGGCTCACAATGTTGTGCCAACCTACTATCCTACTCTAAGATCAAACTACCCTGCGTACCCTACATTTTACTATCATCCATGTGTCTTTCCAAGAGTCGCTTAAATGTCCCTAATGTATCTGACTCCACTACCACCGCTGGCAGCGCATTCCATGCACCTACCACTCTCTGTGTAAAGAACCTACCTCTGACATCTCCCCTATACCTTCCTCCAATCACCTTAAAATTATGCCCCCTCATAATAGTCATTTCTGCCCTGGGAAAAAGTCTCCAGCTATCCACTCTACCTATGCCTCTCATCATCTTGTACACCTCTATCAAATCACCTCTCATCCTTCTTTGCTCCAATAAGAGAAGTCCTAGCTCCCTCAACCTTTCCTCATAAGACCTGCCCTTCAGTCCAGGCAGCATCCTGGTAAATCTCTTCTGCACCCTCTCTAAGGCTTCCACATCCTTCCTATAATGAGGCAACTGGAACTGAACACAATATTCCAAGTGTGGTCTAACCAGGGTTTTATAGAGCTGCAGCCTAACCTCGCGGCTCTTAAACTCAATTCCCCTGCCAATGAAAAGCAATGTTACTGAAACCCTCATCCTTGTCTTTAATATCTCTAAACTCGACTATTCCAAGGCTTCCCACATTCTTTAAAACTGGGGATATCCAAAACTCTGCTGTCCTTCTCCTTGCAACAAGTTCCATTCACCCATCACCACTACAATCACTGACCTGTGTTAGCTCCTGGTCAAGTACTGCATCAATTTAAAAACTCTTGTTCATTTCAGGGACCTCCTTGTCCTCTTGCACTCCCTATTTCTGTAGTCTCTTGAGGAACACAACTTTAAAAAACATCTGCCTTCATCCAATTCTGACTTCCTGAGCATCCCTGATTGGAATTTCTCCACCATTGTTGGCTGTGCTGTCAGCTGCATAGGCCCTAAAGTCTGGAATTCCCTCTTCAACATCTATGGCTCACTGTTTATTTTTCCTTCCTTAAGATGCTCCTTAAAACCTATCTCTTTAACGAAGTTTTGGTTATTTGTATTTGCTGTTCATACCCAGATGTATGACAGATAATCATTTGAGTCAGGTAAAAGGGTCCGTTGGCTTCTGTGGAATTGTACTGCAGTGTGCAAGAAAGACAGAGGAAAATCAGGCTTTCAAACATAATATTTGCAACATAGCAGTAATCAGAAATAAAAATTATTGTATAAAAATTAGTTTCAGGGCAGAAAAGATTTGAATGGCATTGTGAATGCATGTGTTTTTGCATGTGATGTATCTTTTTCTTCTAGGTCAAAGTGGTGCTGGAAACAATTGGGCCAAAGGTCACTACACAGAGGGAGCTGAACTGGTTGATGCAGTGCTTGATGCAGTGAGGAAGGAGTCTGAAAGCTGTGACTGTTTACAGGGATTCCAGCTCACTCACTCTCTGGGTGGTGGTACTGGCTCTGGGATGGGCACCCTCCTCATCAGCAAGATCCGAGAAGAATATCCTGACCGTATCATGAACACTTTCAGCGTGATGCCCTCGCCTAAAGTTTCGGACACTGTGGTGGAGCCATACAATGCTACCTTGTCTGTGCATCAGCTGGTGGAGAACACAGATGAGACGTACTGCATTGACAATGAAGCCCTTTATGATATCTGCTTCCGTACAATGAAGCTGACCACTCCCACATACGGAGACCTTAATCACTTGGTCTCCGCAACTATGAGCGGAGTCACCACATGCCTCCGCTTTCCTGGACAACTCAACGCTGACCTTCGCAAGCTAGCGGTGAACATGGTGCCCTTCCCTCGACTCCACTTCTTCATGCCAGGCTTTGCCCCACTTACCAGCCGTGGCAGTCAAAATTACAGAGCACTCACTGTGCCAGAGCTGACTCAGCAAATGTTTGATGCCAAAAACATGATGGCAGCTTGTGACCCACGGCATGGACGCTACTTGACCGTTGCTGCCATATTCCGAGGCCGCATGTCCATGAAAGAAGTAGATGAGCAGATGCTGAATGTCCAGAACAAGAACAGCAGTTACTTTGTGGAGTGGATTCCTAACAATGTTAAGACGGCTGTCTGTGACATTCCACCCCGGGGCCTCAAAATGTCCTCCACCTTCATCGGCAACAGCACTGCCATCCAGGAATTGTTCAAGCGAATCTCCGATCAGTTCACCGCCATGTTCCGCAGGAAGGCCTTCTTGCACTGGTACACTGGTGAGGGGATGGATGAGATGGAGTTCACTGAGGCTGAGAGCAACATGAATGACCTGGTATCAGAGTATCAGCAGTACCAGGATGCCACTGCAGATGAACAGGAAGAGTTTGAAGAAGAAGAGGGAGATAATGATGAAGCATAGATAGAAGCCTCTCTGTTGAAGAGAAAGTTGTGTTTTTGAGTCAAACTACTGAATTCTGCTGATTCTTCCAGCCAATTAATTTAGAAGATGCGCCATGAAAATGGAATTCCTATTGAAGGTTTGTGTGTGTGGTTTAACATGATCTGTAGTTTTAAAGCAGTAGTGCCCCCAGTAGGTTAGGTTATGAAACTCAATTTTATGAACTGGCCTGAAAAGCCATATCCAGCAGCTACTGAACCTATCTGAGTAGCTTGTTTCAGTTTTTTAGATTTTTAATTTGTGTGTTTCTAAATAAAGATACCTTGTCACTTCTGGTGCTGACATACAGCCTTTTAAACTCCTTTAGTGATTGTTTACCAGATTGGCAACTGAGATTTGCCCTTTGTTTGTTCATCAAGGAATAGTATGATCCCTTTTTTTACTTGCAGACTTCATTTTGTTTCTTTTCTCTCGGCTGAGGTAAAGGAAGGATACTTTTTAAAAAAACTATTAAATTTAACAATCAGGGCACTATGGCTTTAGATGTAGTCAGAGTTGTTTTAAAAAGGAACTATAATTAATAATTGTAACCTTCCCTAGAATAGTATAAAGCACTGTTCAGTAGTGACTGTTGAGATCTGGTGGTGTTACGTTGATTGAGATACTGAGGCTGACCCTAAAACAGTGGTTTACAATTCCGTGAACTGCCAAAGAACCCTCAACAGGTTCACACAGCTCTTTCTGGATTGGTGATTGTTCTCTGTATTGCATGCCTATCTAAGTTTGTCTTTCTGCGATGTTTGTATTGCGAAAATCAAATCATTCAAATAAATCAATACAAATTCTTTCTTCCTTCGCTTTTTTAAAAATTTTCTTCTCTAATTGATTAAAGGCTATATACTGTAGCTACACTTGCTTGCTTTTACCAAAACTGAGTCTGAATAGAGACACAATGGGGAGTAGCAAAATGTTCAATCAAATCAAAATTGTGATTCCTTTCTGCTGACGTGAATCTAGATTTATACAACACTTTAATACTGACCCAGAAATGAAATAAAAGCCTTTTTTTTTAAAACAGTTATTTTGAGATGCAGTTATGTGGATAAATACAGCAGCCATTTTGTATGCCTTGAAAAGCTATGAATGACTTGAACTTCTAATTTATCTCCTTTTAGACATGGGTTAGTCAATCAAATCTTGCATATTCAGGAGTCCATTTGTGCCATATGTGTGCTGGCAGTTTGACAGAGCTGTCTAATTTATTCGCATATCCCAGCCTTTTCTTCATAATTGTATAAATTACCAAGAGTCCTCTTCAAGTACATGTACAATAGTCTTTTAAAAGATGGTAGGAAATCTGGTACCATCATTCTGCCAGGAATTGTGTTTCAGATGTAACCACTTAATTAAAATCTTAATTTCTTCACTACTTCTCTTGCCAATTATTTAACATTTATACCCTCTTGTTACCACATCCTTCATCACAGATACAATGCCCAATACTCTGACTAAGACTTAACTAGAGATTGATTAAGATTTAGCATGACTTTTCTTAAAAACATAGAATGTAGAGCAGTACAACCCTATGGTCCAGCATGTCTGTGTGTTCAGTGCCACCAAAGTCAAGTCCTGTACACTTTCCTCAACTCTTTATCATCTTGCCCTGATACTGTCAAAGATTTGTGAATGGGCAACTCAGTTTCTTCTGCTCTTGAATTCCTGATCCCTTGCCATCTTGTCTTCTCATACACTCCCCAGTGAGGTGCATTAAATTGCATGGCTAAAAAGGAATGTTGCCCTAAACACCATGAGAACTTCCTGTTATGTTCTAAATAGTAGAAAGAACATTGGCAATTTCATCCTCAGAATGCAGGAGAGCATTTCTCTTGAAGCATTATTTGTTCAAGTTGCAGAATAGGACTTGAACCAACAAAAATTGCACGAAGACCTTAATGACCCATGCCTTTATAGGTACACAGGTATCTAAGAGATTAACTAAATTCTAATTTTTAAAAGGCAATTCATTTTTTTAGAAATTTGAGAAAAACACACAAAAAGTAGACAGCTGACAACTAAAATGTTAATGCTTACATTTTCTTCCTTGGCCCAACCAAGATTTAGCTTAATGTTCTTGATTTTGGTGATGTGGCTACAGAAGCTCTGAAGTCTAATCTAGAATATTGATGTCAGGGAAAGACCTGACTCAAATTCACGTCTAGAGCCAAAACGTGACTTGCTTCTTTGCTCCCCACCCCTAATGGTGAATTGGGTACTTCTCCATTTCAGTTAGACCAGGAGGATCCAGGTTCAATCCCATATTTGTCAATGATCTAAACTCAGTTACAGTGGCAATTGATGAAACATTACAGAGGAGGGAAGTCACCACCTAGTAGAAACTGTGGATGTTGGGGATGAGGACTGCAGCAGGTTGCATTGTGATCTACCTCCACTATTTTTAACACTTCACTTTGTAAGCTCATATGAAAAATGGCCAGTAGGGCAAGGATCAAGGGGAAAGCAGCTCTATCCCACAGTATTCCTAATCCTTCAGGAAATGCAAAAAATAGAGTTAATTTGAAAACTAATCCAAAGCCTGCATGAAATTTCTGATGAAAGGTCATTGACCTGAAACATACTTTTTCTCTCTCCAGGCCCGAAACGTCAGCCTTCCTGCTCCTATGATGCTGCTTGGCCTGCTGTGTTCATCCAGCTCTACACCTTGTTATATCAGTTGTGGGCAGGTTGTTGGAGGGGATCCTGAGGGACAGGATTTAGATGTAATTGGAAAGGCAAGGACTGATTAGGGATAGTCAACATGGCTTTGTGCATGGGAAATTCTATCTCAATAACTTGATTGAGTTTTTTGAAGAAGTAACAAGGAGGATTGATGAAGGCAGAGTGGTGGATGTGATCTATATGGACTTCAGTAAGGCATTCGATATGATTCTGCATGGTAGACTGGTTGGCAAGGTTAGATCATTTGCAATACAGGAAGAACTAGGCATTTGGATCCAGAACTGGCTCGAAGGTGGAAGACAGAGGGTGGTAATGGAGTGTTGCTTTTCAGCCTGGAGGCCTGTGACCAGCAGTGTGCCACAAGGATTGTTGCTGGGTCCACTACTTTTTGTCATTTATATAAATGATTTGGATGTGAACATGGGAGGTATGGTTAGTAAGTTTGCAGATGACCCCAAAATAGGTGGTGTAAAATACCGTGAAGAAGGTTACCTCGGAGTTCAACAGAACCTTGATCAGATGGCCTAATGGGCTGAGGAGTGGCAGATGGAGTTTAATTTAGATAAACGTGAGGTGCTGCATTTTGGAAAGGCAAATCAGGGCAGGACTTACACACGTAATGGTAAGGTCCTGGGGAGTGTTGCTAAACAAAGAGACCTTGGAGTGCCTTGAAAATAAAGCTGCAGGTAGACAGGACAGTGAAGAAGTCGTTTGGTATGCTTGTCTTTATTGGTCAGTGCGTTCAGGATAGGAGTTGGGAGGTCATGTTACGGCTGTACAGGACATTGGTAAGGCCAGTTTTGGAATACCGCATTCAATTCTGGTCTCCCTGCTATAGGAAGGACATTGTGCAACTTGAAAGGGTTCAGAAAAGATTTATGAGGATGTTGCCAGGTTGACGTGTTTGAAATATAGGGAGAGGCTGAATAGGCTGGGGCTATTTTCCCTGGACTGTCAGAGGCTGAGAGGTGGCTTTACAGGAATTTATAAAATCATGAGGGGCATGGACAGGGTCAATAGCCAAGGTCATTTCCCCGGGGTGGGGAGTCTAGACTCGAAGGCATAGGTTTAAGGTGAGTGGGGAAAGATTTGAAAGAGACCCAAGGGCCAACTTTTTCACACAAAGGGTAGTGTGTGCGTTGAAGAGCTGCCAGAGGAAGTGGTGGAGGCTGGTACAATTACAACATTTAAAAAGCATCTGGATGGGTATATGATTAGGAAGGGTTTAGAGGGCTAAGCAATAAATGCTGGTAGATGGGACTAGATTAATTTAGGATATCTGGTCAGCATGGACAAGACCATAAGACATTGGAGCATAAATTAGGCCATTCAGCCCATCCAGTCTGCTCCACCATTCAATCATGGCTGATAAGTTTTTCAACTCCATTCTGCCACTTTCTCCCCATAACCCTTGACAATCAAGAACCTATCTATCTCCGTCTTAAATATACTCCATGACCTGGCCTCCACAACCTTTTGTGGCAGCGAATTCCACAGATTCACCACTCTCTGGCTGAAGAAGTTTCTCCTTTATAGTTGGGCTGCAGGGTCTGTTTCCATGCTGTACAGCTCTATGACTCTACGAATGGAAGAATTCATAATGGTCCTGGTGCTAAAACTGCATTTCCTTATTAGAAGGCAATTCGCATACCATAGAGTCATTAAGTAATTCTACTGTGTCTGTGACAGATTATGTAAGTGAATTGCTGGTTTCATGCAGAAAACGATAGTATCAGTTTCAAAATTAAAACTGTTCTTTCTGGAGCTGTTATCATTTACTGATATGGTTTGAAAGTATTTTCACTGCAGTAGCTTTCCATCATTGCATTTTACTGTTCTTGTTATTGATCCCTTTGTTGCTCACTTCCCCACGGGAGGGGAAGAGAATAAGCACCAGCCATCCAGATCCATCTAATTTCCCTAGCTTCATCAGACAGAAATTGGGCTTATTCCATTGAACCTGCAGTGAGTGTTGGTGTTGGGACTGTCAGGATGTGCACTTTTTCATATATACATATTTTTCTAAACACAAAGGGAGTGGAGTTGGATCAGTTAAATGGATCTTGCAGAGTATGGGTTTCATGGACCTCCTGTGTTGTGACAACTCTATGATTCGATTTTATATGTTGCAGTGCATCACCACCATGCTTCTGACTGTGATTGGATTATAATTTGTTCCCAATACTGCTAAATTAAGCTGCAGAATCTGATTGATCACAATTTAAATTTGTATTTGTGAATGGGATAGATGGGGAAGGCTATTGATCCAGTCATGTCAATACAGCTGCATCAAATTTCAACAGGTTTAAACCAGTAACAATAGAACTTGAGAAGCAAACTGGGATCTTGAGTTGTAACAGCTGTTACCCCAGCTGCCAACACAGTTACTGCACAGTACAGAATTCTCAAATTGTAAAAGTGTCAGAGAAACATTCAACAGCTCTCTAACAGCCAAAATATTGGACCTTCTAAGATTGGCCAATTCAGTGGACAAGGGGTAGAACCTGGACTGGTCTGCAGTTTCATGGACAGCTGGCTCTGTTTCCACTAGCTCCAATCTTAATATTAAGGAAACGTACTTCACACAACTCTGAAAGCCTAATGTACTTTTGGTAAGGAAAACTGACATCCTTACCTGCTGTAGTCTACATGTGACACCAGATTGACAGAAATGCGATTTACTCTCAACTGCCGTCTGAAATGACCTAACAAGCTAATTCAGTTGTATTATCTGCTAACATGTCTCAAAAAAAGGAATGAAACTATATGGACCACCTGATATTGACCAAGGCACTGGAAACAACACTAGCAGACTCAGCCCTGCAAAGTCTTCCATACTAACGTATGGGGGCCAGTACCAAAGTTGGAAGAACTTCCTCACGGGTGAGTCAAGCAACATCCTGACACAATCATACTCACCAAGTCATAACTCTCCCACAAGGGGAAATAACCTTTTTTGCATCTACCTCGTCAAGTCCTATAATAATCTTGTATTTTTCATTAAGGTAATCTCACATTCTTCTATATTCCTATGAGTACAGCCCCAACCTATTCAA